AGGCTTCACCAGAGACAGAGTGGGGAGCAGAACAAGCAGATCTATGAAGTATACTGCTGAGGGGCGCGGCGGGCGGGTCAGGAGAGGTCTGCCACGTCATGTGGCGGGAATCGAACTCATGTGGAGGTGGCTTTAACTTCTCAGTGCAGTGCTTTAACCCGCTGCACCACCAGGGAGGGCCATCCTGGCATATTTTTAAAAATAATTTTCTGTCAATGACTGAATTACATAGGCTCCCCCATAATTGTGAATTGGCCTGTTTTGTCCAATTTCGTAAGTTATTGTTTTATATTTTGAAGTAATTTTAAAAGGTGCATACATATTTAAAATTATTATATTTCCTGGTGATTGCCATTATTAAATGTCTCTTTCTCTATTTCTTACCGAGAGCCACATTGGATGTGTCTCATCCACATCTGAACTCCGTTTAGTGGACTGGATGCTGTCTTTTAAGTCTGAATGTGACACTGTGATTGAGTGAGCCATTGGGGGATGGTGGATTTATTTCTCATACAGGAGAGATGTGAATATTTGTGGCCACAGAGCAGACTATCTTCAGAGATGGCATCCACACTTCTCCTATGTATATTTGTTTGCTACATTTCCTGTCAAAAAATAAGCTGTAGATCCTTTATCCTTGAATGCAGCCATCCTTGTGACTGACTTTGACTGATAAAGTATGCCAGATGTAAAGCTGTGCAAATATTAAGTCTGATCCTTGTTGGTTTTTATTGTTTTGGAGGCCCGAGCTGGATGAGAGGTGCACCTGACCTGCTGGGCACAGCCCCTGCCAGTCCCAGCTGTTTCAGCTAAGGTCTGACACATGAATTAAGCCCTGGGGTCCTGAGCCCAGTTGCACTCTCTGGTGAATGCTGTCCAGGAGGGACCACCACCTGATCCGGTGTCCAGCTGAACACGGATGACCCATGAGTATTGTTCTAAGCCATGGGATTGTGGCATTGTTTGTTAGGCAGCATAAATAAATAAACGTTAGCCCACCCGGGGTGGGCTTATCATAGCTCCTTTAGGAGTGGTGTTTGACCATAAAGCAACAGTCACCCTCCTACTAAGGGTGTTTTTGCACTGAAATCTATTTTCCTTGTCAGATTAATTTTCCTAATCCCATTATTTAAATCTTACTAATTTTAGCCTAAGTAAGCTCTTGATTCCTTTTATGGTATAGCTTCTGCTTTTCATGTTTGTACACTTTATCTCACTCTTTCCAGTTTTAGGCTTTATTTCTCTTCACTATGATTTAGTGGTTAGTACTATGTGGTAGAAATTCATTGTTCTCTGATGATGCATGTGCTTCTCATTTCTCATTCCCTACGTGGATGAGGACCGTGGGACTGGACATGGCCACTGGGCTGTGAGTGCACATGGGTGTGCCACTGCCAGGCCAACTACGCAAGAGCATCTGCCCACCATCACTTCCCTGGCACCGGGCAGCAAATAGCCCACGTGCTCCAGAGAGCACCAATACAGGGTGTGCCTCTGTCAGCTTCATGTTTGGGTTTCTGAGGGAATAAAACAGTCTGCTGCCACCTTGAGTTAAAGACAAACTTTTATGTGTTGTTCCTCTCAATTTTGGGGCTTGTCACCACAATAAAAAGTATCCTCTCCTGCCTGAAAAGGAATAGCAGAGCAATTCTAAATCACCGTCTTTCCCAGGCTTAGTGGAAATGATTTTAATATATTTCATTAAATGTAAAGTGACATTTAGCTTGAGATATATGATTGGTAACATATTAAGGAAAGAACCTTCTAATATTTGTGTTATCCAGGACCATTTAAGTAGCTTTGGAATTAGCCATTCATTGTAAGTTAGCTGGCAAAATATAATGAGTGTACTAACGTTTATTCATGAGGCTGTTTCTTGTTAAATGTATAAATATATTCTATGATAATTTATCTGGTTAAAATTTCTTTTTATAATCTCTGAACAATTCTAGCTTTAATTTCCTGGTATTTGTTTCTTTATTTCAGAATAGGCAGAGCTTGAATTTAATTATTATTTATCTTATTTTCTAATTCATAACTTTTTGTTTACTAAATTCTTAAATTGAATGTTATCTCTTTTTTATTTTTTCCTACTTAATAATATGATTGATCAAGGCTATGTATGCATTTTCTTCTGTATTTTAGCCATTGCTGTTAAGTTGTAATACAAAGTGTTTTCATGGTATGTTTTATAGAGACTTCACAATTCAGTTTTGATTTCCTCTGTGATTCAGGAATTTTAAGAGTTTTTTTTTCTAAAAAAAAAGATTTATTGATTTATTCATACAGAACTGGGGTGCAGGCCAGAGATGCGGAGGGTGAGAGGATTCACCAGAGACAGCACAGGGAGCAGAACAGGCAGATCAACGCAGTACACTGCTAAGGGGAACAGCGGGTGGGTCAGGAGAGGTCTGCCGCACCATGTGGGTCTCCTCCGGGGCAGGCAGGGATCGAACTCATGCGGAAGTGGCTTAAGCTTCTTA